ATGACCTGACAACAGTATCGTAACTATATCCCTTCTTAATAAGTCTGTTTAAAGGTTTTGTTAGCTTTTGAGGTGAATACTAACATTTTTGTGCTTTGTAAAGAATATTACCATAAAAGATTTGATGTGAAATACCCAAACGTATAAGATGTCTGCATGTTGAGTCATATTTACGAATGATGTCCTTATACCGATGAAAAAATTTAGTAAATGTTTTGACTAGTTTATGATATCGAAAACCCTGGTGTAATAATTTTTCAGTAATACATAAATTTCTCTCGCTAAAATCTAATATGTTGTTACATACACGAGTGAATCGTACAAGTTGAGATATATAAACACCATAAGATGGTGACAAGGGAACGTCACCATTTAAAAATGGATAATTAACGATAGGAAATGAAAAATCATCTCTTTTATCATAAATTTTTGTATTAAGCTTCCCGTTAATGATATAGATATCAAGATCGAGGAAAGGACAGTGGTCATTGTTAGTATTAGCTTTATTTAAAGTAAGTTTAACAGGATTAATTTCTTTAGTATACATACTGAAGTCGTCATTATTGAGAGCCAATATATCATCCAAATATCTAAAAGTATTGTTAAATTTTTTTATCAGATGTTGTTTCGATTGGTCTTTGCTGATTTTAGTCATAAATTGTAACTCATAACAATACAAAAACAGGTCCGCAATAAGTGGTGCATAATTAGTCTCCATTGGAATTCCGATAACTTGACGATATACGGAATCTCCAAAGCGAACAAAAATGTTATCAAGTAAAATTCAAGGGCAGATATCGTATCAAAGCATGTCCAATTGACATAGTTCTTTTGTTTGTTGCTACTAAAAAATGACCTAAAAGAGTTTGAACATATGTATTTGCATTCCGACTTTTTAAATGCCCATTTAATTAGGTGTGTGAATTTTTTCTTAATAAGAATATGAGGCAAAGTGGTATATAGGGTAGAAAAATCAAAACTTTGAACAGATTCAAAATCTCCAATATATGCATGCAATTTATCAAGTACTTCCAACGAGTTTTTGACACTCCAAAAGTAATTAATTCCACTATTTTCAAAGGCCTTATTTGAACAATTTATTATCAGGTTTTTGATTGTACCAAGTGTACTAGTAAGTAGAATAGACAATTAAGTACTGGAACAATGACTTGAAGACGAAATGAATCTATTTTTATAAGGTGATTTGTGTAGCTTCGGAAGCCAGTACATAGTTGGGACTTTCATTGTATTTGGTTCTGCTTTTAAAGAAGTAGCTAATAGTTTATTTTTGTTACAGATATCGTTTTCTGAAAATGAATTCAGTTGGAATGTTGGTGAATTGGTGATTTCCTTTTGCAGAACCTCAATGTAAAATTTACGTCAAACTATAATGATATGTTTAGCAGCTTTATCAGCCGGGACAAAAACAAATCCCTTGGCTAGTTCTTTTAGTTTATGTTTGATACGAGATATAGGATTTTTATGGTTGTTGTTAAAAGAGTAAAATGTTCTTTAAAATGTTGTATACGTATATCAACTATCTTCATTACTGAATTAAAAAAAGAGTCCAAAGATTTTTTGTCAGCTTTTTCCCGTTTAATCCATTTCAAACAGTAAGCACGAAGTGAGTCGTGGATGATATTACGACACTCATTCCAATTAATAATTGACGGGGGACGATATTTAGGTCCTTTACTGAGGAATGATTTTAACTCTCGGTCGCGAACGATGTTAAGGTCTCCTGTTATAACATGGGAAATGGGGCGATAAGTGTATTTGGAATTACTACAATTACATGACGTAGGTGTATTTTCACTGACATTTACATCTTTACAGACTTGGCTATAATTAAACACAAATTTACTAAGTATCTATGATATAAAACAGACGTGTTTCAATGGTTATTTTTCTCTGCAAAATACCATTTTACTTTTTAAAAGACATACCATCAGTGACATGAAATCATAAATAGTACCAATATTCCAAGCATAATCCATGACCTGAAAAAGGTCAGAAAGTATACAATACTGCTACAAAATTGGGACGTCTGTAATTGATTGGTTGACTTTCTATGACAGTCATTGTTTTACAGCGACAAAGTATAACTTCATTCATTTTTATCGCGAGAACGATATTTAAAGATACAATTTTCTCTGTAAACTTTATACTGCTTGTAAACTAAACAACGAATTAAGAAGTCCGAAAATATATCAATAGTGAAATACAGATAAGTAATACTAAAAGTACAGAAAAAGATAAACATTCAACGACTGATTTATAAATTTGAATAGCAGAATTTATTTTGTTTTTGTTCATCGGTTTCGTGTACATTTTGTATTTCGAAAACACATCAGAAACTTTATAAAGAGCAAGACAAAAGATACAAAAGAATCATACATTTTGAATGAGTTTTATTGGAAAGTATGAGAAATAAAGAAATAAAAACTGTTTGCAAATAGTATCATCTTATAGAATATTTCGATTTAAAATAATTTTTAAATGAAATCTATCGGAATTTAAATTCCTTATTAGACTGTAACATGCCGTAACTAGTACATTCTAAAACATAAAGGTTACAGGTTGCATGTCTGGGCAATGTTTTCCTACTTAATAATTCCCTCTGAAAAAATATATTATTATTTTCTAAGCAGAATCAATGAGGAATTTATAACGTCATTATCGAAATAATAAAAACTTGAAAATAATAAAGGATTCTTTCTATACTGTTAACACTATTTATTACACCACTAGCAACCAATCAAAATAAGAATGCTGCATGATAAAAAAAAACGTATAAAAAACAGATCTCAAGACAAATTCAAAAAAGGGTTAGTTCATGAATAAAGACAACAGTAGTATAACGCTGTTCGAAATTCATAAATCGATTGAGAAAAAAAAACAAATCCGGGTTACAAACTAAAACTGAGGGAAACACATCAAATATAAGAGGAGAACTACGACACAACAGAAAAACAACATTAAAATGTAACACACGCAGAAACGAACTATAATATAACAATGGCCGTTTTCCTGACTTGGTACAGGACATTTTAAGAAAAAAATAGTGGGTTGAACCTGGTTTTGTGGCTAGCCAAACCAGCCGCTTTTATGGCAATGTTAAATATAACATTAAAATGACAACATTACATGACAGGACTACAATACAAACAAATGGGAGAACATATAGGACAGAGAAACATACGAATAATAGCTAACAAAAGGTACCAGGTTTAAAATTTAATACGCAAGACGCGCGTTTCGTCCACACAAGACTAACCAGTGACGCTCAGATCAAAAAAGTACGAAAGCCAAAACAAGTACAAAGTTGAAGAGCATTGAAGACCAAAAGTTCCAAAAAGTTTTGCCAAATACGGCTAAGGTTATATGTCTGGGATAAGAAAATCCTTAGTATTTAGAATAATTCATACTTTTGTAAACAGTAAATTTATAAAAACGATTATATAATAGATATACATGATAACACCGAAGTGGTGACTAACTACAGAATAAAAACGGATACATAAAACAACATAAACCAGCACATAAAAATTCACAGCCGAGTTAGCCAAAGAGATCAACGCTAAAAAAAAGGTGACGTCACATTTGAATTTCTGAAATTTCCCCAAAATAGGATAGAATTCAAGATTTGGTTTATAATACTCATATAACATTTATCAATAACAATGAAAATTACAATACTAATTAATATAAAATGTGGTAGTAAAAAAGATAGTTGATAGTATTATCTAGCTATGTCGGTGCTCTTCTAAATCAAACTGTAAACCAAATATATCGTATAAATTTAGTTGACCCAAACTAAAATCTAATTAACGAACAGGGTGATTAATAATCTTTAATAACACACGAGTACAACAGAAAAAAATAAAATTTACAACTACAAACGATAAGACATTTGACAAAATCCGATGAGAATAACAAATAAAACATCAAAACTAAATACATGAATTTGGGATAGAAAGGTCCCGTGACACGTCTCATAGCAATGCGAATTCACACTCAGCAAAACAGTCACAATCGGGAATAAGTCACGTTCGGTAATTAAAAGATCAGACGACGTAATGTCAAACCACAATCTAACACGTGGTAAAAATGTCATGAGTTAGTTTGGACAAAGACACATCGTATGGATCGACCAATTCGTGATGGTGTCCGTAAAATTTACGGAGTGTCATTTTTAATCTGTCCTCTTCATAACTTTGTTGGAGCAGTTTCTGCGTTAGGAGCACACTCCTGTATATGAAGTCCGTATGAAAACTGACAAAATCAAGCGCTGTCAATAAACGGAACAAGTGAAAAACAATTATACATATACTTTACTTATACTCTTCGACGTTTTGTTTTGTCAACTATGCAGTGGATACAGCTAGATATTATATAAGACAAAAATGTTTTAGGATTGATATATCTTTTATGTCGTGGGGTAATGTATATTTTAATAACGTACATTTTATAGAATGGCTATATTCTGTTTTGGTAGTCTATCATTATAGTTATAGCATCATTCTGTACCTAAATATATATGCAGAACATTAATCGAGATTTTATTGTGATACAATATTCTTCGAAACATCACAAAAAATACTTTCGAAAGAAGTTATTTACTCATTATAAGGTTAATGTGGATTTCAATATACAAGGTTTATGACATATAGATAGCATTAGGTACATTATGTCTGTTTTAAAATAGATTTTGTTTCTTTTAACACTTCGTCAAATTTTCTAGGCAGACTTTGTTGTTTCTAGTTTTACCCTTACAACTTAAAATTTCAAGGCACCAGTTGAAAGATGTTTTGGTTTAGACATGAATTAAATGATTCATTGTCATCCTAAATTTCCAGTAGTTGTTTTAAAATTTCATGACAACTTTATTCTAACGACTTTATTACTCCTGTGCTGTTTCGATTATGAAGCTGTCAATTGTTTAATGCATTTGGCTAAACTGTAAAATAGCCTTAAATCAATTTTCAATACACGTAAAAATGCAATATCTTATTAAAATTTGGAAGATACCTTATGTCAAACCTACCTCAGGTAGGTGAATTCAGAATAATCTGTCCAGCACGGGATGGGGTGTAAGACAAAAAGTAAAATAACAAAAATACCGACCCTCAAGGAAAATCAAAACGGAAAGACCTATATCAAATGGTAAATTCAAAGTTCAAACGATGTGAAAACAACTGTCATATTCCCGACTTGGTAAAGGCATTTAATGCAGTTTAAAATAATTCGAATGAGTATGTACGAAAATTAAAATATATTACCAACGGAACAAGATCTCAGAATTCCAATTAAATATGTATGTATTGTAGGATTGAAGTCTGCATTGAATTCCAATTTTAAAAGCAAATTAAAGACTAATAATCTTATTTTGATACACCACGGTTTTTTCTACCCCTGGTGTACAAAGAGTATTTTGCACACACTGTTGCAAGGTTGATTTTTCACGCTTTTCAACTTTGAATTTGGTCTCAAATATTTTGATTTGGTCGTCTCTGATGAAATGACAGTGTGACGTACTTTACTATACAATTGGTATCTCTGATGAGTTTTGCCTGTTCTGATAAAAATCTGTTCAACATAGTATTCAATTAGCAAATACTATTAAGCGTTTTCAATCTAGTCAATCAAACGGATTACCAGATGTATCAAAATGGATCTTAATTATTAATTTAATACCAAACAGAAAACAATGAACTTGTGGAAAAGATGTTATACCGCAAACAAAAGGTGCAAACATTAGTACACCATATCCGGATTTCGACAATTAATGTCTCTTCAGTGATCTTAGGAATCGAAACGGTATTTGGAAGGCCATATAATTTACCTCAATTTAGGATAGACTCTTGAGTTTTGAAGAGTCATATATATATATATACAAAGAACAAAAAATACATATAATATGTATGTGCATGTGTTAGTTTAAGCTTATGCAGGTGCCAATAGTGCATTAAAGAGACACACATAGTTTTCTATATATTTGATCTGAAAATTAGTCAAGGGAGGAGTTATTATATGTTGTAACTCTACATTTGCTGTTTTTGATGGAGACAAATCAGATTTATTAGTTTTTACATCGGATGACCGTGAGAGCATTCCGGTGTATTGTTGCCACAGACATTTCTACCCACGTGACTTTCGTTTTTGACTGATAACCGAACGCAAAATAACATTCCTTATCGCTTGTTATATATCAATTTCATTAATAAATATTCATAAAAATATTTTTTTAATAACAGAGATACATGATATGAAACTGTTTTGTTGTGAGAAATATATATATCAATAACAAATCAATAATACCGAAAATGTGTGTTAACGCATGCGGAAGAATATGTCAAGAACGTTTTGCGGGAAAATATGAATGCCTACTCAAATCCAATCTATGAGAAATTCGAATAATTACAGAAGAGTGTCCACCATGCACTTGCACTGCACTATTATTAGAATAGTAGAATAGAATAATATACAAATGGATGAAAATTATGTAACTGTTATATACATATATTAATATAATATATAACAACAAACCAGATTTGTATCACTACAATATAATAATTATTACGGTGAGGTTGAACCCCTTGTCACTTACTTAGTATTCATCATCCACGCACGAACTTGTCACAGAAAAAAAATATATCTATGTACCTTTACCTCATTTTCAGGTATTGAGATGTGATTTTTTTCTGAGACAAGTGCTTGTGACCATCCACAAGAACTTGCGGTCATCCGATGTTCAGTACTTCAGTACTTTAATTAATTCTGTCAATCAATATTAATAATAATTGAATATATATATACGTATAATATTTATGTGCAAATTTATGTTTAAGCTTTTGCAGATGCAAATATTGCATTAAAGAAACCCACCAAGCTTTCCTCTGTATTTGAGCAATATAACTCTACATATGCCCTTGATGGAGATAGGTCAGATAGATCAATTCATGGGGATTTTATCTGCGCGCAGTCAGACAGTGTAGCTAATCAGCAGTCATGGTGGGCAGTCGACCTTCAAAATGTTTATGTCATTAATGATGTAGATATTTTTGGACGTACAGATTGTTGCTGTGAGTTGTATTCTGTTCTCAGGTTTACTATATTATACAAATAAAGCACGTAATATTAATATATAAATATTACAAATGCATGTCTGTATCTCGTTGAAGTTTTAAATAAAGGTAATAGAAGTATACCGCTATTAAAAACGTGAAAATCAACTAAAACCTCCGAAATCAGATAAAATCTTTGATAATTGTATGATTATATATTAACCATGTGATATGCATAAGTGCCGATAACTGATTGCTCGTTTAGCGTAATAGGATTTTCAGCAATCTAGTATTTACCCTAACATTACATTCTCTGCCAAATTATTATGAAACATAATATTTTGAAGTCAGACAAATCTGAGAATGATATATTTACAGGCCATGTGTAAATTGACAAAAAAACTATGGACTTTGACTCCCTGCTAGATAAAGCTTAAACTTTCTAATAAATCTGTAGCTTGCATGAATTATTGCGTAAATAACCTCCAGAAAAAATGTTTTTTCTCGTAAGCTACCGTCAAATCCAAAGTTGACATTTTGTAACTAAGGAGCCGCCATGTTGACTTGCTGAAATCAGTAAATATGCAAATAATGCATTAGAATAGAAAATACAACAACACCTACCCCAAAGAATCATTTTAATGTAATAGTATACGAATTTCAATGGTTTACGTAACGGAAAAACCTTCAGCTTTAGCGTTTTCATTTGTATGACGTCATGTTTTGAAATGACTCAAATGAGCCAAAAGCATTCATGAACTTTCGCGGAATTTTATTTTATTTTGATTTGTAGATTTCTCCGATCTCTTGTGCATTAATTCTTTCTGTTATGCATTCGAATAAGAATAAAAGTTCTGTAGTCTTATTTCAATTTCAGTTTTTAAAACAAAATATCGGCATAGCGTTTGTAAATAGGTTCTGATACATGTGGATTTACGTGGGAGGTATATTGTAACATCCATTATTATGTATATCTCTGAGTCTGCGCTAAGAATAGATATATCGAGAATTTTAACACGGTGTTGTTTACAAAGCAAAAGAAGCACGTCATATTAGAATAGCTTAATAAATTTTTTCAATATTCATACCTAAAGTAAATTTCCACCAATAGATTTGACGTTAAATGTTTATGATATGCCCCATATATAAAATTTAAGAAATATTTCATGCTAGCCATATATTTGTTGGAAATTTTCACATGGCCTTGGTTGTTATATTCGAATTTTATCTCGAGCGTTATCGAGGGATAAAATGAACGAATATAACGGCCCTGGCCTAGTGAAAATTTCCTACAAATCTATGGCTTGCATGAATTATTTCGATTCTAGTAGGACAAATACGATAATTTGGAAAAAATAAAAACAAAGGTAAGATTGCTGGGTGTATGTCTGTTATGTTTTACCCCTGTATGATACAAGCTACACATTTCAAATAAATGTAATGCTTGTTTGAATTATTCCTTAAATAGCCGCTATAAAACATTGGTCAATTCTTATAATTCTAAACCCAATTATAATAATAATTCGTTGTCCACTATTTACATTCAAATCCACAGATGGCATATCGTAACTAAGGAGTGTGTCGCCATGTTGACTTGCTGCAATCGATGAATGTGCGAATAATGCAATTGAATAGAAAATGAAACAACACTTACCCCAGAATTCCATTTTAATGCGATATTATCCGAATTTAGAGAGTACACGAAACGGAATAATCTTCATCTTGAGAGTTTTCATTCGTATGTCGTCATGTTTGACCTGACGTTAATGCGCCATGATAGTGCATTTTATTTTGATCTTGTATATTTTTCAAGATCTTATGCATTACTTCTTTTTGTTATGCATTAGAATGGAAATAACGGTTATGTAGTTTCTTTTTCAATTTCAATTTGAACTCAACGAAAGCCACATAGTGTTTGCATGGTTACGATACATGTGGATTTACGTGGAAGGTAAATAGTAACAGCCATTATTATGTACATCTCTGAGTCTGTGCTAAGTATAGATATATCGAGAATTTTATCATGCTATTGTTTACAAAGCATAGAATCAGTAATTCAAGAGGGGACCATGTATAATACGAAAATTATTTTTATATTCTAGGAATAAATGTAAAACAAAACCGAGGCGAAAGATAACAAAGTGACGTTCAAACTTATAAGTCAAAAATAAACTATTCTAAATAATACAACATCATGGCAAAAATAAAAGACAAAAAAGACAAACTATTGTTTTAGAAAAGAGAGAACGTTTGGTACCATTAAAACGTTTAATCCCGCTGCAAATGTTTGCACCTGTCCTAAGTCAGGAATCTGATTACAGTAGTTGTCGTCTGTTTATGTAGTTCATACGTGTTTCTCGTTTCTCGTATTTATATAGATTTGACCATTGGTTTTTCAGTTTGAATGGTTTTACACTAGTAATTTTTTGGGGCCCTTTATAGCTTGCTGTTCGGTGTGAGCCAATTTATACGTGTTGAAGGCCGTACCTTGACCTATAATGGTTTATTTTTATAAATTGTAACTTGGATGGAGAGTTGTCTCATTGACACTCATACCACATCTTCCTATATCTATAAACAACAGTATACAAAAACTTCATAGAAAACTTAAGATTGAGCAACTGTACCATATGCAACTATTCCAGTCATAGTTACGTTCGATAACTCTGCATGTTACTGGTTTAATAAGAATTATGTCAAAATTACCGGCTACCCGTGTGATGATTAGAAAATTGAAAAATATAGATATTTCACCTCGGTTACCATCCATTCGAGATTTTCTTTTATTGATATAAAATAATAGCATAAATTAATTTCATTAAGAATCGAACAATACTAATCTACATGTACACAGGTCTTGTCAAAACTTACATCGTGATTAGGTGCCATGTTTGTTTTCTTTGATCACGTTGATGACTTAATATCTGCTTAATCTAGCTATGTCCTTGGGTATTATTAAAGTGACAATAACGTGTGATACTTAATTGCAATATCAACAGTGAAATCAAATTGAATCATTTGCATGGGTAAAATTAATGTCGAACATCTTCTACGTTTTGAAGCAAGAAATCATATATCTGAACTGATATTTAAAACATTTTTAATTGTAAAAATGAATGTACTGTAAAACGCGGGGTTGGGAGGTAAAATACACAATGCAACAAAAAAGTTATGACCGTTTAATCTATGTACCCCGTTCATTTTCATTGATAATCAATCGGCCATTAATGATATACAAAAGTGTAAAAGTTACGTGATGACCGCGATAGTGTTAAGTTCACAGCTAGCCTAAATGAAAAACTTTATTTCGCATTATTTAACAAATGAGTAATTATAGAAATTAAAAATGCAGGGTATTCAGACATTGTCAGAAGCCTTTGTATGCTAAATGATGGTCCTCGTTAATGAAAACAATCAAATAAAAGGCGTAGGAAATATTGAAAACAAATCGTCATCTCCACCCATTTGAAAAATAAGATAAAAGAAGAAATGTACACCTCCAGCATCTTTCCGTATTTACGCCCCGTGGAATGCAAAATGATGGTAACTGCATGTATATCTACAACAAGTGTCTCAAAATCATTTGATAGATTTAAATAAAACAGCCTAGATACTTTTACGGATACGTCCTTTTTCACAAGTCTTTTACTTGCCTTATATGTTATGGGTAATTTGTTTGGGCGTTTTAGTTACTTTTTTTTAATTTTTCGAAAAATTCATAATGTTTCTAAGGGAAAAACAATACCACATTTTTATTAAGTTGTTATAGTTTAAAAAATAGTGTCAGAACTCTTTATCTGCTTATTTCATAAATATTGTTTAATATTCAATATCCGTTAAAGTTTTGATGAAAGTTTCATATGTTAAACGTAATTCTGTTGGATGTTTTTTACTTTTAAATATCTGCGTAACTCATAATTAAAAAAAAGACCATAACATGAAGATAAATGATAACATGAACAGTACAAATTTTCCCGCACCAGATTTTCATTTCGACAATTTTAGTATCTTCAGTGATGATTGAAGAGCGGATAAAACCAAAAAGAACCAAAAAATAGAGCCAAACCCTGATAAACAATCAGAGCTATTCACGATCAAGACACATCAATATCAAACAAAATCCGCATTTCCATTTCATGGCTACTGGGCTCGGTATACCTTTAGGGGTAACAGTCCAACAGAAGAATTATCGACCCATTGGTAGTAATTTACCTGCATCAGATGCACACTTCGACAACTAATGTCTCACCAGTGATGCTCTAGTCAAAACTATTTGAGATTCCAAAACCTTAACAAACGTTGAGGAGCTTATAAAACGAAAAAAGCACTAGAAGTAAAGCCAAATCCTTATATTTGTAACACTTCACCGAAAACTGGAAATTGATCAAGACTATTCCCATACGTACCGTCTTGTGTGAATACTTGGCTAGTATTGAGGAATTCATAGCGTAGCATTTCAGTTACAATTACATACTCAATTTTGTTATTTATTTTATTCTCAGATGACGCTTTCGCTAACTTTGATGTTGAAATTATTTTGCCAACATGTACATGCAATCATTGGAATAATCTAGAGGAAGGAGATAAAATTAATTGTCACTACCAGGAAACAGAAAGTCAGAAAATCACGGTTACCTGCCCTTCTAACACTATAGGAAGGTATGTCAGGATTAAACGCCGTGATACGGTATACTTAATCATTTGTGAAGTAGAAGTGTATGGAAATCCATTAAACAGCCTTCGTGAATCAGGTATAATAATTGACTTTATTTATAGTTAAAGCTTTTTTATTTTTGTAAGTAGGTGGAAGAATATCATCTACTTAAAGCATGCACCTTTCAGGAGTATGTCCAATGACAAGTATAAATAAAAAGTCCGAGGCACAAAGGGTTTAACACATAAAACATGAACATTGGTGTATGATAAAAGTTAAAGGTTTTGATCATCACAGGTATTCAAATATCCGTGTTAATGAGATTTTTTTTACAGTATATGCAAAATTTTCGGGTTGTGACACCAATCAATAGAGCGTCGCTAATTAACATTTTTTAACATGTTACTGATTGCTATGTTGTCAAAATGTGTGGCATGTAGGAATAATCAATTTATTTATGTGAAAACAGAGATCGTAATCAATCATGCATATTCTTGTGATCTGTCGAACAACACAAAAAGACTCGATAAATAACAGTAAAATGTATAAAGCTTTCAAACAACGATAAATTTTGGAATATGCAGGGAAATTTACGCGGGGTCGAATTTACGCGTTTCTTTGGCTGCCGCGAACAAAGCAAAAATTAAACACACGCGAAAAAAAATCGATATTCAGTATACGAAAGAGGGACAGTCAAACTCATAGATCGAAAACAAACTGACAACGCCATGGCCAAAAATAAAAAGACAAACAGACAAATAATAGTACAGATGACACAACATAGAAAACTAAAGACTAAGCAACACGAACCCCACCAAAAACTGGGGGTGATCTCAGGTGCTCCGGAAGGGTAAGCAGATCCTGCTCCACATGTGGCACCCGTCGTGTTGCTCATATGCATGTTATTACAAATTCGGTAAATAGTCTAATTCGGTAAGTCACATTCGTGAAAAGGGAAGGGTATTGTAGTTACGACATAAGGAACATATCCGATATCATCTGTGAAACGGTTATTCCATAACGGTCAACCAACTCGTGATGGCGTCCGTAGCTATCTCGCTGTCATTATTATTATTATTATTATTATTATTTTATTTTTACATTACTTTTTCTGTACCTGCCCTCCTAACACTATAGGAAGGTATATCAGGATTAAACGCCGTGATACGGTATACTTAATCAATTGTGAAGTAGAAGTGTATGGAAATCCATTAAACAGTCTCCGTGAATCATGTATAATAATTGACTTTATTTATAGTTAATGCTTTTTTATTTTTGTAAGAAGATGGAAGAATATCATTTACTTAAAGCATGCACCTTTAAGGAGTATGTCCAATGACAAGTATAAATAAAAAGTCCTAAGCACAAAGGGTTTAACACATAACGACGGTTGTCCCATGTAGAGCAGGATATGATGTATTTTATTGAATTGATGTCACCTGTAGCATTTGTTTTCGTTTTATGTTGCTCTATGCATAAATTTTGACTTGATGTCCAAGCATGTCTAAAAGCCTAGTTTATAGTTTTTTACTTTTTTTTACATTTTACATTTTCTTATATTTTATTGAGAACTAATAAATCCTTCTTAATAACTCAATAATCCATAAATGCAATTAAGTTTGCAAAGTTATATAATCATATGATTTACACGTAACAACATATTAGTATAGTGATTTTTGAAGAAAGTTCCAAGGCTTCAAGTAGTAAATCATTTCCTATTTCAAATACAATTGCTTTCTCTCATATTAAAAACCTTGTTTCGTTTGTTTTGTTTCTTTTTATTTTGTCTTTTTTGAAGTTATGTGTGATGATGTGTGTTGCTGTGGTGATTAATATATCTCGTTTTGCTGCCTGATGATATGTGTTATGATTTCTATGATGAAACCCAATGGGTAGTTGTATAGAACAATATAGGGCAGCTATTGGGTTATTTAACGTATGTAGATGCACATTTAGACTTCCGAAACGCTTTGCCAAATACAGATAAGGTAACCTAATCTTTGGGTACAAACTCCTTGGTATCATGAAAGACCGAAAATTCCCTAAAACAGCAATCAATGACTTGAGTTAAAACAAAACATTAAAATTAGTGTTTCCAATTCTTCAACATTTTGTAAAACACTCGAAATATAATTCAATAGTTTTCTAACGATTTAATTTATGCCAAAATAAACACGAAAAGATATATAACTATATACTTATATATCGGACGTTATTTACAACCCCTGAAAATTCCTGGTTTTTGATTTTAATTGCGTATTCTAAGTAGATATTTAACATATATATCTTCGTCAATAGTTAGAAAAAGATTGTCGTAGTATGCAAGATATAGGTACTACGGCTGCGGCGACGGCGTCGATATCAACTATTTATATAAAGCTTCATATTTCAGAAGGTAGAAGACCTTGAGGTTTCATACCTTGTATGCAGATACCTTATGCTACGAAATTTCCGTCTGTCACATGGCCATTGTCCTTGACCTCATTTGTATGGTTCAACGATTGCTTGGAAAAAAATAACAGGTTTTTTTTGTCATGTCAATTTCTTACTTATTTTGAGTAGTAGGATAACTATATTTGGTATATTGGTTCCTTGCAACACCTACATTTCCGTCAGACAGGGTTCACCTGACATCGACCTCGTTTCATGGAACAATTGTAAGGGGTAAATGTCATTCAGGCAGGTTTCATCTGATCTTGACATCATTTTCATTGGCCTTTTGTCAAAGTTATGTTTTTGTGTTTTTGGTCTGTTTTCACGTACTATAAGAAATTGCAATAGGTCAACGACATTTGATGTATGGAATGAATGAAATATGTACAAGTCTGTCAGGCAGGTATTATTTGACCTTTGCCTCATTTTGATGGTTCATTGACCAATGATAAGTTTTCTCAACTTTGTCAGCCTATCAGATACTATAAGCAACAGGTCAACTATTGTTGGTGTATGGAATTATTGTAAGGGTAACTTGTCTGACCGGCATATTTCATCTGACCATGACCTCATTATCATAGAACAATTTTATATGCTACGTGTAGTGAAACCTTCATTTCACAGTCTATCCAAATACATTTTATAATAATTAAAACACGCGAGACATTTCAGTGTGTGAACTCTTGTTCTATTTAAGGTTTGGCAAATATTGTTACTACCTATGCATGTGGACATATTGGTTACGGATATGCCGGTCCAGTTATAGGAACATCTGTAGCGCAAAGTAACATTCAGTGCACAAGTACGTGCATGAGGAAGACTGAATGTTTTGTAGCAGAGTATGACAAGAACACATATGTTTGTACACTGAAAGGAGAATGTTCAAATGGAACGCAGTCATATTTGTACCCAGACAACAACAAACACGTATTTTTTATTTAATAGGATGGAGACAAGTATGAATTGATTTTAGACGTAAATAAGGAAATATAGAATCACCAATTAATGATATATCAACAGAAAATTATATCGCAACACTGTTTTACAGTACAACTGATAACCAACAACTATACTTTTAGTGTTAATATAATTTTTCTGCCAAGATATGTCCAGGTTATTGGATCCAAAACCAAATAAAGTCTTAGAATCTAAAAGTAAAGATTGGGACACAAAAGTCTAGCAGACATCGTGAACTGATATGAAAGAAAAAATGACGTTGACTAACATTGATTTTGATAACTTTTGATTTGTTTTTCTTACAATCAAAGGAATCAAAGAAAACTCCAATATTATATTGATGTACACATATGTCGTTGAATTGATGGATCTTTTTATTTCTTATTTCATTTTGTCTTCCAATTGACGAAGGGAGACATTATTTTTTATTCATTATAATGTTTTGTTTACATTTTTGCGTTTGAAACATAACTTTTTCTTCGTTTAGTATAAGTGTTTGATATTTGGGACATGGATGAAGAACACAAGACATTTTCAATGCAGATAAGGATTGTTCCAGGCTTGATATCCCACCCCTAATATACTACATAGTTAATATCTCTGAAACAGTCCAGATCTCAGCATTAAACCATTTGTATACCTAATTGCCTTGAGTTCTACACCATTACCAGATATTATTGTCATTGCAGTACTTTCTAGCTCTAGTATGTGTTTTTGTGCCTATTTCTTTGCCTGTGTGACATGTATACATTCATGCTATAGATGATAGGTAGACATACATTGTATTTTAGTCCTCTACAATAATTTCACCTAATTCATAATGAGGTACACATATTTTGTATGATGGCTGTATTTCAATTGCATTTATTATATGTTGTAATTTAAATTAATTCTGTTGAAGTTCGGTTTATGTTAGGAAATCATTGTAATATTTTGTATCCTTTCTAATAATCATGTAATGTGAACACAGAAAAACAATACATTTGTGATTATAAAGATTAAAGTACATTCAATACGCCGATGATTCCGTTAAGAAACAGTTCTTATGTGTGAATCAAAGCAAGACTTAATAGACAAGGATCATCACATGACCTGACTTGTACATGTTGTAAGTAGCAGGTAGCAGATAGTATAGAAAGATAGATAATATCTTTGTCACTTTTTGTTTTCTTTCAAATTTCTTTCAATTGTCATTTAAACATTGCAACCTCCCTATTTCAATCTCATCTAACATTTATCGTTGTGACAGCATGAGATACCCTGTGATGCGTTTTTATCATACGTTTAGTTTGGCTATTGTTTTTCAATTTTTCAAACTAAATATTTTGAATACATTGACGAGTTAAAAAAATACATAGAACCTGAAACATGTTTTTTTTTCTAAGTGCGTATGAAGAATGTTTCAGATGTTAATTTTTAAGAATAAAGTTGTTTGCATTGTAACTTGTTTATTGTTTGATTCGTGAGATTTCCATAAGCAAATACAATATTTCAAAATTAAGAATGGAAATGGGAAATGTGTAAAAGAGACAAAAACCCGACCAAAGAGCAGAAAACAACCCAAGGCCACCATTGGTTCTTCAACACAGCGGGAAGGCAGGCTTCAGCTGGCCCTTAGAAATAATGTTAACTAGTTAAGCGAAAAAAGACGTCACACTAAACTCCGATTTAACTATTTACACAATTTACAAAAGTGAGTTGTTACTCTCATTTAACTTATGTGCCAGTAATTTCTGTGAACATTCTACAAAACACACAATAGGTAAGTATAAGCTTTCTCATACATGTAGAAAATCTTGTAAACAAATCTTTATATCACAATTGTTGATAAAGACAGTATTTCACGGCATCCTCATCAGTTTTTGTTTATATCAGTCAAACAGTTCTTTCAAGATCTTTACAACCAACAAAAACACATTATGTTTGTCATGCAATTGATGTTAAGGTTCCATGTAAATCCTGCAATGTCAGTCTCATCCCCACTTTTACTTCTTTTTGATCAGATTGATCCTCGTTCTTATCTGCCTTATTGTTTGGTGCTGTTTTACTGCAGAGTTTGTCATTCTTTTGCTTTATGCCTTTCTTTTTCGCCTTGATTACACATCCAATTGCTTTGGCATTTTTCATGTTTTGTCCTTTTTCAGATATTTCTGGCAAGTTATGCAGTTTTGCAGATTTTTGCATTTATGCAGATTTGCCCTTTATAATATATTTTGGCATTGTATTTCATAATTCTAGTGAATCTTGGCAATGTACCTTTGAATGACTGGACATAGAAGATTCTCTCTCCAGATTGGCAGTCATTGAGAAATCCGTCTATTCTCAATCTTTCTCTGAAATAACTCGTTATAACCACGCCAATAGGCTGACTGGAAGAACTCAAAAATCTGATCGTCATCAGCCTATAGTGGAATGTTGGACACACGTACTTTGAGATATTCTTGATTCTGATTGACAGTTATTCTTGGATTTTTGTTATAGACTGTTAAAAGTTAATTTTCTTAGATATGAATATTTCAGATATCACAGGAGGAAACTAATTACAAAAATGTATGAGAAAAGATATGATTATGTATTCCCTGTTGTCAATTTTCCCTTTTAGGGACCTTACTCCCTTTCCGAAACAAAGTTTATATGAAAAGCTGACGTGCTTCATACTTAAAATGAACGCACGATCAATGTTGTTACTATCATATAACTACATCACATGTATATTTTATCAGAATCCGTGATTCTGATTGGCTGACAACAGTCGCATGGATTCCAATATCATATTTTGTTTCAGTATAAAATACAACAGATATGACTGCATGTGATTTCCGTGACATTTTCAAAACAATGCATAGATAGATAAACAAAAAAGATTGATATAACTCTTAATTTCATGGTCGTAGCATAAAATGTAATCATAGGAATTGAATGCTTCTTTTTATAATTCTAAAGAGTTCCACAAGTTTTGATCGTATGCACATTTTTGATATGAAGCGCTTCCGCGCTTCATGAAGCTCTTCATACAAAATATATATATGCTTCGGTCAACGCTTTTACACAATAATAAAATGATCAAATGAATAATTCAATTCTAAAATAATTAAACAGGAAGAAATGCTCGATTTCTATTATTACATTTATATGCTACAACTTTGAAATTACGAGTTATTTCAAGCTGTTTGTTTGTTTCCAATGAAATTCAGTGACGTTTCAATGGAAATAACGCGCAGTCTTGAACATGTTGAATGTTTTCATCCAATCAAAAGTACGAATTCTAATAAAACATACTTGTAAAGTAATAATATTGTAATAAATGCCATTAAATGTTAAGCAAGTCAAGTTGGTTTAATGTAATTCCTTTCCTTTAATTTGTCGTACTTTGATTTATATTTTTATCATGATGCAGTTTAATTATGAAACAGACATTGTCAAACCTGGCTATATAAAAAAGAATAAAAATAGACGACTTATTATTGAATGATCTTTCTTATAACGAGTAGGGTCACTTTTTTAACTCATCCATGCCTTTGTTTTCAAAAACTACATTCAAGATAGAAATTTTGCATATTTCTCAGGTACTAAGAAATGTCCTTAAAAGAAAGAGTTTTCATTTTGTACATATAATGTATTTTAAGTCACAAATATCTCTGATGCAAGTGTTTTCACAAATTATTTTTACTACAGTTGACATCTACAAGAGCTTCTTTATCGTGTTTTGACAATAGTTTGGAGGGCACTTTGGTATAATCAAACACATGTTACCCGTTCGACGTATAGCATATCAAAGATTGACATCCCTACAAAAGTCTCTCACTTAGGCATTCGCCCTCAGAGAAATTATCCTGTATTGTTGATAATTGTGGATATTCACACTTTCTACTATCTATAGCTGTATATACTCAAAGAAAAAATGAGTATCGCATATGAAAAATAACAACAACTCTAACATCAAACATGTTGAAATCTAATATTTCGCGTCATTTACACATCCACTTTCTGACATCCTTTTGAACCAAAAACCGGAAGTTAAAATCCTATATTAAGACCAATACAACTCTGTATTAACCGACTTTTCTGTATTAAACCTGTATTACCGACAAGCTCTCAGACACATTAAATCCTATGAAATGGACAATTTATTATGGTATACCAAAGTCCGTCCGTCCATCCGTATGTCAATACTTCGAACGATAACTCAAAATTGCTTCAAAGTTATTGGTGGCGTGAATCAGGTGTGGATACTAAAAAATCCAAAAAACGATCTTTTGGAGTACGTTCAATCTAAGACTCTTTCATCTTGCAATATTATTAAAACATTTGACTTTTCTACACTTTACAAAAGTATTCCCCATTCCAAACTAAAAGACAAATTGAAAGATTGGTATTGCTTTTTTTCATAAAAAATAATGGCAAACGTAGATACAAGTATCTTGTCTTAGGGAGGGATAAATCTAACATTGTAAAAAATCACTCTGATTCAAACAAAAAATTCTTTGAAACTGACAATATCAAAATGCTTGATTTCTTGATTGACAATATATTTGTTACGTTTGGAGGACGTGTTTTTCAACAAACTATCGGCATTCCCATGGAAACCAACTGTGGCCCTCTTCTTGTCGACTTGTTCCTTTATTCTTATTAGGCTGACTTCATTCAGGAACTTTTTAGAAAGAAAGAAAAGAAGTTAGCAGTATCCTTTAATTTTACTTTCCGCTATATGGATGATGTTCTCATACTAAATAATTCAAAATTTGATGACTATGTTGAAAGTATCTATCCCATCGAACTAGAGATAAAGAATACAACAGATACAGTTAATACTGCCTCATATCTTGACTTACATCTAGAAATTGACAATGAGGGTCAGTTGAAAACAAAACTTTACGACAAAAAAGATGATTCCATCTTCCCAATTGTGAATTTTCCATTTCTATGTAGCAACATTCCAGCAGCGCCAGCATACGGAGTAAATATTTCCCAATTGATACGATATTCTCGGGATTGTATTTCTTAT